CCTGCAGAACACGTGCGAGCAATGTTTCGCAACCCTTTGTGGCAGGTTAAGTCTGTACTGGATATGAGACATGCAGGACATTATAAGGTTAGTACATATATAGCTCACTTTACCATTAAACCTACTTTCTTTCCCTTCTGTGCTTAGCATTATTAAAAGTCATAGTTTCATCGCTTAAAGCGATTGGGTGATGCAAACCGAGGGGTTATTCCTTCATCAGCGAAGACATGCACTTGAGAGAATTGTGCACGCTTCAAACAATAATGCGCAAAGTGATCCAAACAAGAAGTGGTTTGGTTCTTTGAATCTCAATTTTGAGGATTTGGATTAATATCCACGTTGTTTTATATTGGATGCTGAAATTAGTTATAATAATTGCCATTCAATTACTATAGTACTAAATTCATATGTTTTTTTTTTTGGAAGTGTCCGTAGACTATGTGCACTTTAATGAAGCATGTGTTTCACACCATGCTTTATGCTTCAAGCCAACGAACCTCGCCTTTTGCTCTTAAAAACACTGATACTTCTTCTATCCGTCATCTTAAATGTTTTCTAAACTCTAATCACCGAAGAAATTTTTATTTGGAACCTAAATAGTTTACTGAATAACTGCATCGAAGAGAACATATCAGACACTAAGATTAACAGGTGACAGCCTGAGTTTAGATTACATGTTTACCTTGCACCTAAATGTGAATCTCATATTTTCAAAAATGTATACATTGATAGTAGCTTGTTTATTAACTTATGCACTAAACACATTTGCTCTCTCAGTCACATGTTGTTGCTGGTAGGTCTATAACTTATGTGTAGAGCAAGCTTATGATGCCTCACATTTTCATGGCCGTGTGGAGAGGTATCCGATGGATGACAATCATGTCCCTCCTCTCCAAATGATCAAAGAATTCTGTGAAGATGTGTACTCATGGCTTTCAAATGACCCTAAGAATATTGCTGTTATACACTGCATGGTACCCCTAGCATCCTTTTCATTACTTTTCTTTTCTAATGAAGTATTTAAATATTGCTATGTTGAGGGATATGGATCATGGTGTTGTGAATTTCAGAACATCTCTGACATTTAAGTGGATCTGCTATTTTGTTTCTTTTAGGAGATGTGAAGATAGAATTTAGTTTATCCTATATTGAAATATAGTGTAATTAACTTTTCTTTTTTGACATCTGTAGGCAGGTAAAGGCCGAACTGGTTTAATGGTTTGTTCGTACCTAGTTTACACTGGCATGTCAGCTGAGGAGGCTCTTCGGTTGTATGCTGAGAAACGAACAACTAACAATGAAGAAGTAAGTTATACCAATCCTCTAATTAGAACTGTTGACAATGGAAAGGAGGGAACCTGAAATATATAACATGGAGGCTTTTCATTCAAAATGGACTACCACATTCATATCCATATTTCAGCAAGACTGATTTCCATTATGTTAGGCAGACATTTAGCCAAACACAAACCTAAGAAAGTGATGTATGACTGATTTAGAACTCTAAAGTATGTAAAAGGAACAGAGAATCTTCTGTCGTGAAATGTGTTTTTAGTGCTAATAATTAATACAGTAGAATAGGCAATAAAACATATTGAGGCATGCCTGTTTTTACCTCACGAAGAAAGAGAGGAGGGGATATATGAGATGTTAGTTTGTTTCTTGAAGTTGTGAAGGGAGACATACTTCATATAGTAAGGATAGTTCCTTTTCATTGCAAATCTTCAAGTTGTTCTTCTTGAAGTGATTACAACCCTGAGATTGTTTCCATATACAGGTATCGATTCCAAGCCAACGTAGGTATGTCAGATATTGGGAGCACATACTTTCCTTCTCAAAGGGTGTTCCTCGTGGTCCTCCTCCAACTGTCAAATTGCCTAAGTCATGTAAGAGAGAGCTGCGTCGCATTAGATTATATGACACTATAAACGTTGAATCCATCTTCTTCGTGGTATCCGAGTTGCAAAGAGTAAGCCATCTTACTCATATAAGATTCTTTTGCAGCATCAATGATGAGTTATATAAACTTATTCTAAGATGACTACTGATCAGTTTGTATGACCATCAAGTCTGAAAGCTTAAACTCTTAGAAAGAGCACACTTTTATTTACTTTAGTTATGTGTTTTACATGCCCTTCACGTGCAGACTTAATCCCTTTTCAAGCCAAGCACATAGAAATTTATCTTGATAAGTTGACAGAGGAAAGAATAAAGTTGAAAGAAAACTCAAATCACAAGATTTCTGAACTTTTTCCAGTTGTTGATCGTCATTTTGGTTCCATTGTCCGCTTCTTCATTGCAATAGGTAAATTTTCACTTTGTGCAATTCAAACAGGTTCCAGGAGAGAAGTATTGTCCACCTGCAGAAGTCTCAAAAAGTTGCTGCAGACGAATTAAGAATGGTATTCAGCGAACTTATAGTCCTCGATATTTTTATTCCTTTGTTGAGGAAAATGAAGATGAGATGAAACAAGAAAAGAAGGAACCTCGTTTGGTTGTCCAAATGGACACTGAAAGTTCAATGCTCTATCAGAAAACCTGTCTGGATCATTTTTATGACAAACCAGTGCAAGTACGAATCTTTAGCCTATTCTATAAAATTATGATATGATGTTTTCTCTATCTAACTAGCTTTTGATCGTCACATTAATATTTTCTTCCTCCATCACTAGTATAGTAATATATACATCAAATTAACCCTTTAGATTTCATTTTGAGTTAACACTATCACATAAAATGGGACGCAGGGAATATCTTTTTCTTCCTTTGCTCTCTATTAATTATAAGTTGGATTATTTCTTAACAGGTCTGTGGAGATGTACGTATCATATTCTACGAAAAGCTCATAGGAGGACGTCTCTTTTATGCTTGCTTCAATACTGCTTTTATTAGGAATGATCTACTGCAGGTATTTTTCAAATTATACAAACTTACAACTGAAAAATATTGCATATGTTACCAAAACTGTGAAAGTAACACATATGGAATGGCACAAGTCATGTATCATGGATGCTGATCAAAAGCTCCAAAAGAATATTGATTAGAAATGAACTTTTAACATTTGACTTCGTGCCATTGAAGGATTTTGTCCGGCTCCAAAAAGCCATAAAAGAAAAACAGAAACTTAGTATGATCTAGATAAAGCATTCACGTTAGGAGCCAAATCATTGCATTACTATTTGTGCATTATATGTCAAATTTGTACAATGACGTGCTACTAATTCTGTTTTAAATTCTGAAAATTTGCAGTTTTCGTTACGAGAGCTAGATAAAGTTGGAAAAAAGGGTAGGTCCATGACTGGTTCTTCATTCTGCTTGGAGTTGTTCTTTGGTCCAGCAAATGGAAATTGTTTGCCAACACCTCCTTTACTTGAAGATAATCTTAGTGATTATTAAACTACTCCATATATTATCAAAACCCCTTAAATATAGTACAATTTATAGTGTTGTACATTTTACATTTCAATTGTCTTGCCATCTATTTTTCAGGGGATGGAAGACTAGGAAGATTTCAATAGTTTTGTTAAGTAGAACTTGAGGGAGTAGTTATAAGAACAAATGTTTCATCTTAAAACTTGCATGCCTATCCTAGAGTCTAATGGAAACAAAATTCTCAGAATTTGAAAAGGATCTAGGTTTTTTGGTTGCATTTAGTATTAGACTTTGAGGGCTAAATTGTATTCTCTGTTTAGTCCTTACAATAAACTTCAACATTATAGTTTAGTTCTAATTCCTCTAATCCCAAATCCCTAATAATTTACTTATATGCACGTCATCGTATTTTAACATGTTATAGAAGAAGGTAGTTTGCCTTATTTTCCAAGTTTCTAATCCCACTTCTTATAGTGTAATTTTTTTTTTACATAGTTAGTGTATCTAAGTTAAAGTCAATGCCAAATCCTTATTCTTTTTAGAGAGCGGTTGTTTTTTAAGATCACTTAGATATCTGAATTTGAATACATATAATTATTAAGATGTATTTAAATGTAAAAGCTAAATGATCAGGACTATTTGTTTTTTCAACATCTGAATATTCATAATTCCGTTTTCCTTAAAAATTAATAATATAAATTTCAAATCAGATGATTTAATTTTATAACCACAAAATATAGTAGGTTATAAGGTGATGATTGATTGTGGCTGGTGGTGCCATTTGGATTTAAGGTTTTATGGCAGAGAGTTCTTGGAATAGAGCATTCTTGAGAAGATTGCATAGAAATCCCACTCCTTTTGTTCTAGTTCTTTGGAAAAACTCTGTAAGAGGTCTGCTCCTTAAATTCACTTTTCAGAAGAAAAGATATATTCGGGGTCGTTTGATACGCGGATTAAATTATCCATAATCCCAAAATTATAATTTCTAAATTAATTTATTTCACCTGTGAGGTAGAATAAAATAATCCCAAATTTGAAACTTGAAAGGATAAGGTGGGGTATTCAGGATTAAGTCTGAGATTAAATTTATTTTATTTGATTGACAGTATAAATTTATCCTTGGTTAACCAAACACAATATAATTTAATCTTATATCTTATCGCATCTTATCCCACCTTATCCCGCGTACCAAATGATCCCTGACTGCGTAGTAGTGATAAGGTGGACATAACACAATCTTGTTTCACCCACTCCTCTTGTGTCAATACTGATAGCGGATAACCTTCGTTTAGTCGCCTTGAGATCGATAGGAAGAATTATACTAATCTTTATGACCAAAGAATCAATTAATTAACTTACTTCTCGAGCAATATATAGTTCTATATCCCGACTACCTATTTCTTGAAAGCATGTAGGGCCATCATAGTTTACTCAACCCGACTAGTAAAAGGGCTTTGAAATATAGAGGGGTTTTTGGGAGAGAAAAAGTTTAATTTGCCCGTTGAATTTGTTTAGATCATATAATACTAGCTAGTTGAATGGATTGCTGGACATGGATTTGGTGATGGCAATCTTAACATCATAATGGAAGTAATTACGAAAATAATGAGAGTATTGTGACAACTCAATCATTGTTCATGGTAACTAAGGCCATCTCCAATGGTGCACTATTTTTTGCACTAAATCTAAATTTGGTATAAAATTTGATGTTTTTTTTGGCTCCAATGGAACACCAAATTTTACACCATTTTAGTGTGTGAATAGTGTCACACCAAATTTGGTGTGACACTATTCATCAACACCAAATTTGATTTATTATTATTTTTTTCATCTTTTTATTTTTTTGAACTTTTAATTTATCATATATTGTGTATATAATTAATTTTTATATTAAGATCTTTATAATTTAAATTTTATATCCTTATATATATATATATTATATTTATATAAAATTATAAGTTAATTTTATTATTATTATAATTGTATAAAAAGAAATATAACCGCATGTAATATACTGCACAACATGATAATTGAGGACGAGCGTGATCTTAATGCACCAATTCAAGATGCACGTTAATGTCCAGCTCCTGCGGTAGAAATGACAGTAGATGAAGATCACTGATTTGAACAATTTTTAGCTCTACACAAAAAATTTAAAGATAAAGATGCGCATTTCGCATTTCGTAATGCATTAATCGAGCATTTATGGGAAAATAGAGGCGAAAGTTGAATATTTATGTGGTACTTAAATTAAATTTAACTATGATGTAATATTTATGTAATTATTTTTTATCAATGATTTCACTTTTAGTTGATTTATCCTTTAAAATAATTTTGTAATAAATGATTATATAAGTGGTGAATGTGAATTATATGTGATGAATATGAAAAAAATAAAAAAGATAGAATTTGTTTGAAGGAAATAAAAAATAAAATTTAAATAGAAGATAATAAGATAATAAAGAAGAGAGGAAAGAATATAAAAAGAAATATTCTTTTTTGGTGTAAAAGATGGTGTAATGGTTGGAGTAAATTTGGTGTTACAACATTTTGGTGTGAAATTTAGTGTTAGGGTTGGAGATGGTCTTATGACGCTAAATTTGAGATAACCTAGAGGTGTCTTTCTCACTCATGGGAAGAAGTTCGAATAAATATCTTATTACCGCTACTCCCTCGTCCCAATTTTTGTATCGTGTTCGCTTTTTTCAGAGTTTAAAAAGTTTTTCTTCATTCTTTTAAAAAATTTGTAATTAGTAATTATTGTGTCTTATATTGCTTTTTATATAGTTTTCAAATATGCAAATTTTATTTCAAAAAAACTTAAGAGTATGTATCTCAATTCATGATGAAAATTAATTTATTTGATTCTCTAAATCCGTATCGCCGCATAAATTGAGACGAATGAAGTACCATTTTGTACATAAACCAAAAAAAAAATCAGTTGATATCATTAAATAAAGAGACTCACCATAGCAGAGAGCAGGGTTCTATGGTGTAGTGGTTAGCACTCTGGACTTTGAATCCAGCGACCTGGGTTCGACTCCCGGTAGGACCTTTTTTGCATCAATTCATAATGGAATTTGAAAATTTCAATGGGAAAGTGGACATATTTTCTGGTGAGTTCCTTTTTAACGTAGCTGTAATATATCTGATCAAGGGAATAATTTCCATTTTGACTTTCTTTAGGACAACAAAAATGATACCTTAACCAGATTTGAGATGCAAAATGGTGTTTGTTACCACCAATTAGTATAGTTGGTTGATGAGATTTTTTTATTTAATTAGAGGTCCGAACTTCAAGATTTTAGAATAAGACATTTCTTGATAGGAAGCACTTTACCTCAATAATGGATCTACCTAACGCTAATTCAAATTTGCTGAAGCCAAAGAGAGTTTTGGAAATGGATATTCTTTCACCTTAATAAGAGCTTTCGAGTCCGAGGTCTTGAAACAAAGTTCTTAATAGAAAGCGCTTAATCTCTTTAGTGAATGTACGTAGCACTGAAATTGAATTTGTAGGTCAATGGAAGTGTTCGATTCCAGATGTATAAAGCAAATTGGCTAAATTAAATGATTATCCAAGTTGGCAAGTTATAGAAAAGCAAACACATGTTCTTGCATTTATAAGTAGGTCAAAGACCTCTGTCTTATTGAAATGGAAAGAAGAAAGAAAAAAACTGCTTTTTTCAAGGGTCTAAATTTGGAACACCAAAACATGATAGTTTGCACTTGAGTCAACTTGGAACATTTAAAAAGTTCTACTCTCGTTTGGTTTGAATATGGCTTATGCCGGGATAAGTTATACTGGGATAGTTATGTTGAAATTAGTTATCTTGGCATTATTTTTTATTCACTATTTGGTATGTTTATTAAAATGATAATTGCATAATTTTTAAGAAGAAGGTATAAGTTATCCCGACACTAATTACTCCACCCTCTACAAGGTATAAGTTATTTCGGTACTAATTTTAATCCCAAGGTAACTTATACAAGATTTGCTAATGAAACAAAAGATTAAGGTGGTATTAAATTTTTATACCAGCACTATACCTTCTTACATCTCATACCAAACGACCCCGATACTAATTTTAATCCTCGGATAATTTTTATTTAATGCATTCTCTGTTTCGCATTGATTTTTCCTTTTTCATTTCCTTTCTTTTTGGTGGTTGGGGTTGGAGGGGACTTGAAAGGTGGAAATCTAATGCTTTTGATTGATCACTTCATAGGGAGAGTGCTATCCTACTCAATAAAGTCTACTCTATGTCTGTAGATACTTTAACTTCCATATATAGTTTTAAAAAATACATTATCAATTTACTTTAAAGGTAATTAAAGACAGTCACTCATGGTTTCTGACATTAATAGCTTAAACATAAGATAAATAAATATTTACGCAAGTTGAATTGCACTGATTAGGTAAAAGTATTATTTACATTATAAGCAATTATGAGATAAATCCTCTCAACTAATATTGGACCTTTTTAGATCTCGAGTAGGGGTGACAATTTGAGTTCAAGCCCATCTAACTCGCCCAACTAGCCCAGAGATTAATGGGTTGAGCTACAAACATTTTAGCTCATGGGTTAATTTGGGTTGAGCCCAAGTTAACCCATAATTTTTTATAGCTCATTCTGACCCATTTAACAGCCTAAATACAACCCATGAAACTCACTCAAAACAAAGGATCTCAACCCNACCCAAAAAATATTTGTCAACTTACATATTTTAAAGTAAAAAGGTTTTTTATGCAAGATGAGCATGGTTCGAAAACATGGGTCAAATTGGGCGGGTTGGGTTATGACTCATTGTTTAGCCCATCTTGACTCAGTCCATCTTAACCCAAATACACTTTGGGCTGGGTTGAACAATGACCCATTTATTGACCTAACTCATCTTGGCTCGCCCAAATTCAGCTCAACCCGTCCATTTGTCACCCCTAATCTCGAGCTTCACAAGCTAATTCAATTATTGAGAAATGATTGACAACTTGAGAAGGAGGCATAACGCTAAACTAATCTAACCATCTAATAAACTCGTAAGTCAATGTGTTGAATTGACAAGTTTGAATTTAACAATTATCTACCTAATCATCATATATCATAGTATCATAATACTATGTTATAAGTGGGAAACCAAAGTGCAAAATTAAATTACTGAAATATCCATTAAAAACTAAAAGACCGTTGTATCATTCACTTAAACATCTACTCCTACAATACTTTAATACCAAAAAAGAAAACTTACGCAATTCTTTTGAGTTGAAAGTGTTTCTTTAATGTACAATGTAATGATATATATGCCAAAATGAAAACGTTTGCAAATGAAAAGTTTTATTAAAGACCAGAGAC